TATAAGTTATAAAATTAAAACTTATTCATATCGTATTTTATCTTGTTTACAACCATTAACAAAATAATCTTACATATTAATAGAATTTTTAAAATATATAAAAATAATTAATTTAATTATAAAATTGAATAATTAAATTGACTATATAATTAATAAATAAAAAAAGAATAAATAAATAAATTAATAATTTTTATTAAAAATATTAATTAAATTAATAAGCTATATTTATTATTACTTGATTTTAGTTTTTAATATTTAGAAAAATTATATATAATTATATATTATATTTTAAAAATATAATGAATAAATAAAATAAAAAATTTATATAATATAATAAATTATATTTTATTAAAAAAATATAATTTACTTAAATAAATATTATTCTTTTTATTTTAATAAACTATTTATTATTTAAACTAAATATTAATTTTGCTTAATATTTTTTATATTTTTAAAATTTTATTTTAAGTTTAAAATACTTTGTAAAAATAAATAATATTTAATTATAATTTATTAAATTTTACAATAAGAAAATATATTAATATTTATTTATTATTATAATTTATAATAAATTTTAAATTATTTAAAATTTTATTTGATTTTTATTATTAAAATCAAAATTCAAAGATATTTATAAAATAATTAAATAATTAAAAAAATTAATAGTTTAAATATTTAAATTTAAAGAATTTATTAGATTTTTAAAGAATAATAATACTAATTTTAATAATTATTATTTAAAAATTAAAAAAAATATAATTAAAATATATTATATTTATTTTATATTTTAATAAAATATAAATAAATAATATAAATATTATTTAATTATAAAATATATTAATATATTATAAATTATTAATATTATAAAAATAATTATTTATAGTTTAGTTTTTTATATTTCTAAGTTTAAAATTATTTTAATAATTTATTCTATTTTGAACTTATACTAGTTATTTTTTAATTTCTTTTAATTGTTAAGATAAATAATCAAATCTATATTATTTCAAAATTTTTTATTTATCAAATATTAAATAGTTTTATTACTATTTTTCATTTTTGTATTATAATTAATTTGTTACTTAATATTATAAATATAATTAGACGAATTATATTATTTAAAAAAAGTGAAATTTAAATTTAAAAATTTAAAACTTTTATATTTATATATCTATCATTACTTGATAGATCCATTATTTAATAATAATATTTAAGTAATCATTCAAATTTATTTCTCTTTTAAAGTAATATTTCTATTAATGAAGTTATTAATAAAATTTAAAAGCTTTCTTTTTAGATTTTGAAAATTATATTACTTATTATCTTTAATTATTTAATATATTTTAATATCAATTTCAAATATTCACAAGTTATATAACATTTTTGAACTTTAAGAATATGGTTTGCTTTCGTTATCTTTATATTAAATTCTAGCTTTATATAAATATTTGCATCATTATAGATAATTTATATAAAATTAAGGATTAAATTTTCAAGTTATTTTCCAAGCAAGAATTTCATTGCGAGTTTTGCATATATCGTAGTTATGATGTCTTATTTATATAGCTTTTATATAAGTATAATGATATCATTCACGAATCTATGTTTCAAAATTATCTGCACGTATATATATATATTCTTGAGCTATTTATATGCATATTATACATGTTTTATTATTAAAATTGAATAAAACCTGTAATATTTTACATTTGACTCGAAGCTCTATTTATTATTCTTTAGAGAGTTTGCTTGTAAAACATATTTTTCTTTCAATTGTTCTCCCATCCATTGTTTTATTTATAATTTCAATCTTGAATAATAGATCGAATAAATCTGTGCCTACATAAAACATAAAGTAATAAACAATTAACAATTGCAAATAGTTAATTACCTTTGCTAAATGACAAGTTGCTTGTTCATAAATACTTTCTACTAAAACTCGCATACGATTATTCTCACTACATGTGAACATATTGTGTTTATTGGTTAAGGTCCTATTAATCATCATAATTGTATAGTTGAATTAAAGAGTTTTAAGACTTTTGGTTAGAAAAAGCAACCATTAGAGTTAAAACTAAGATTGGTAGTGAAGCTGCGTAGAGATACTTTTCAAGCTATTTACCCTTCCATTCTCACATTCACTATTATACAAAATATTCGTAGTTATCTATTACATGTACATGTAATTAACTTGCCTAATAAAAAATTTCTGAGTTTTAATAAATAGATTAAGATGATGAAAGTATTAACGGTGAAGAATCTATATCACAAATTTTATTTCGGATACAAAAGCAGTGAAACTTTAGATTATGCGTATTGGATTTGAGATAACATATAAACGCATGCGTTCAGTATTGACGGTTTGCCATTTTTAACATAAATGGCAACATGTGTCATATACAAAAATGATATGTCATTAAAAAACTATATATTTCATATATTTTTAAAAATATGACATATCACTTATAAAATTTTATAATTATTATTAATTAATAAACTTTGTACATATATATATATATACTGATCATTTGTCTCTAATACCAAAATTATAAAAAATTGGTTGCTTAATATGATTTTGAAAATTTGTAACAAAGGCCATTTAGCCTTGCCAATCTATTAAGTAATTTAAATTAACTCCACTTGTGGCAGTGATATTATAATATATTGCTTGGATGAAAGTTACAGTATACGTGAATTTTGTTAGATCATTGAGTATCCAACGTAAATAATGTTACGCTACTCCTAAAGACGTTAAATCTAAAAGCAATTAGGCGCAATACTATGGTAGGATATGGAATAATAAAAAGGACGTTTAGGGAATGATCGATGAAATTAGGTGGCGTTTCTCCTTACTACCAAAAATAATAATAAAAAAGGATGGACTTGTTGATACGTCAGTGAGATGCCAACAAACCAAAATACTAAAGATAAATAAGTTTGTTTAGAGTGGAGTTCTTCCGTTATCGATTTATATTAGACATAAAGAAGTAAAAGCCACTTGTATGCAAGATTTGCGGTGAGTAATAATAAAAGGATATTTTGCTATCAAAAGGATTTTACAAGTTTAATATTTTGACTTTTATTTGTTCTGTTCTTGTTGGGAGATCAAGAACTTGCCTTTATACATACATATGGGATTACGTTAAGTCTATATTAATAGTAGCTATATTTTAATATTGTCAAAGAATTTCTTTTTTTTGAGGTACAGTATTTCAAGTCACATAATTATATGCTGGTCTATTGTTCAGTGGTTTTCAACTATAGCTAAAAGTTGCTAATAAATATTGGAAGAGTCTTGACGGAAATTAAAAAGAGAAACGGACATGAAAAGTAGCGCTAGGTATTAATTAAATCGATCCTGAAAAGGTTAATTGTTACGACAACGATAATGGTAATCATAAAGTGTATTATTAGAAGAAATAACGATCACGAAGTGTTAAATATTAATTGTCATGAACATAATTGCGAAACAGTGTTAATGATCAAGAATATAATTGTAATCTCCATACTAAGGGAGTTAAAGAAAATTAAAGAATTCGTAAGGTTAATTGATAATGAATATAGCAATAATTTAAGTAATTACGAAATTTATTTTTACTACGGTAAGAATTACCTAATTTTTTTTCTCAAGTCAAATTTTCCATGCATTTATGATATTTACGGGGATGATATCTGCTTAGTCATTTCAGTCTCAAACTTGGTTTAAAACTAATCTAACTGAATCGTTGCTACCGCATTGACATCACCTCAATTCGAACAAAGCAGAAAAAATTGAACTTTTTAGAAATAAAGATATGGCAAAAAACAAGATAAAACAACAAATTGATGCGAAGTGCATCCCAAACCATAATTTACGACTAAAGTTAGGTAAATAAAGAAGATATGTCAAAGAGATTTAGTATAGACGTCAATGATGACATAAATGTACAAGTGGATAGAGCTTCATTAAATTGCAATTTCATTTTTAAAAAAAATTGGGTTACTTTTTATGGCGACTGTCTGACATTGAAATCTAGAGTTTATACATGTAAATATAGCATTTTGTTAAGATCAACAAATAAAAGAAAATACAACAATAGTCATATTGGAAAGCCACCTTTAGAATTATTGAAATTTTAATTTTAAATTTTATAAAGATTATTTAATAGATTCTTGCAGTTTTACTTTTAGTAATTTATAATATTCAATGGAATTTAGATGTAATGAAAGTTCCAGACCTCAAAAAATATGTAAGTTACAATTGTTTAGTACTATATACGTTTTGTCTATATTAGATAGATAACTTCAAAATTATGTTCATTCTCAAAATCTCTTACTGAGATTAGAGTTTTTACTGTAAATTATTTGGCTACACTCGTATTTCGTGTTTTTTAACTGTAAAGTAAGATTTTGGAGTTATTTTTTTGATAAACGGGAAGGTCAAATTGAGATGTAGGTTTTTGTGCGGATATACTGTACCTTGATAATCGAAAAAATAATCAAACTGAAGAGTAATTTTCAGAAAATGATCAAACTAAAGAGTTAGATTTTATATGGGATTCGTTTTGATTATTAGAAATGTAGTCCAACTGAAAAGCAATATTTTGTCTGTTCTCATCTTGATAACTGGAAATGGGATCAGAATTAAGTGTGGGCTCGTCTTGATTACCGAAAAAATGATCAAATGAAAGAATAAGGTTTTGTTTAGATTCGACTTGATATTTAGGAAAGTGATCAAATTGAAGAGCAGGACTTTGTGTCGATTCTTCTTGAGAATTGGAACGTTGAAGATTAGGATTTTGGATGGATTTATCTTGATTACTCGAAGAATAATCAAATTGAAAAAAAGGATTTTGTGTGGGTTTTTCATTTTGATAGTTTGAAAATTGAAGAGTAAGATTTTGGATAGATTTTTCTTGATAACAAGAAAGGTGATCAAACTGAATAGCAGAATTTTGTGCGGATTTATCTTGATAACCAGAAGAGCAATCAGACTGAAAAGTAAGCTTTTGTGTCGATTCGTCTTGAGAACCGAAAAGTTGAGGAGTAACATTTTGGATGGATTTGTCTTGAAAACCGGAAAGTTGATCACTATATTTCTCTTGATAGCCAGCAGAGTGAAACTGGGGAATAGAATTTTGGCTGGACTTCCGGTCCTTCTTGCGTGAATATTTATGTTTTTCAAGCTCTTTTAAATCACATGACATTTTTTTGTAGGCTTCTTTTTGAAATTCTGGTAGTTTTTTCCATTGATTGCTAGCAATACGAGAAAAGCTAAGAGCGTCACCTATTCGAAATTTTAAATCTTTTATTTCTGCTGTAATGCATGCTCGAAATATTATAAATTTGCTCGGAGCTTTACTTTTAGGATCGCCATTCCTTTTGTCTTTTAAAAAATGTTTTAGTGGAAGATAAGGAGGAAATGAAGGTATGTAGTCTTTTAAAAAATATTCCATTAAACTATTGGAAGGTGTGATATTGTCTGACATTTTGAAGTCACTGATCCGGATGAACAGAATTTTTGGTAACTAAGAAGAAATTTAATTTTTCAAGTTTATTAAAAACTATATTAATTTACACTTTGATTAATTCAATTAATTCGGCTTTAAATTTATACTATTTTTGTCTCAAATTTATAAAACAAGCTCCAAAAAATTATATATTCTATTTGTTCAAATACACAAATGTCATTAATCATTGAGTATTTGCAATATATTGCTATATAACTACATTCTATTCAGTCCCACGTAAATCAGCAGCGTCAATGTATTCACGTTTATTTGAACTGAAAACATTGAGAGTTAAAAAAATATAATGTAAATGCTTTTTCTACCAATTTTTGATTGGTAGAAAGACTAATAATTGAATGTAAATGTAAATGTAAATGTAAATGGAATGCACCACGCCACGTTAAATGCTCAAACTCGAAATTAAACAAATTATAACATTTAACTAAGGAGAATTAAATAAAATACATTTCGCTTTTTCGTTAGTTCAGTCAAGTAAGATTGATTACTAAATTGGTCAAACTACGTATATCGAGCGTTTTGCAAAAATAATTTTTTATTAATTTAGTCTTTGAGAATGCAGTTTCGGGTAATCTTTAAATTGATTATCGTTATCGTTATCGTTATCTTTCCTTGCATCAATCCAAATACATGTACATGGATGTACAAGTATCCAGAAAGTATCAAAATTAAAAAATAAAAATTTTGAACACTTTTCAATTTATTTGATTTTTGTCAGTTTCAAGTAATCTTAAATTGATTATCGTTATCGTTATCGTTATCTTTCCTTGCATCAATCCACATGGATGTACAAGTATCCACAGAAAGTATCAAAATTAAAAAATAAAAATTTTGAACACTTTTCAATTTATTTGATTTTTGTCAATTTATACACCAAATAAAAAATAAACTTTATTTAATATTTAATCAGCCTTCAATTGACTCCAATACTGCATTAATTCTTCGTGGCATTGATGCAGTAACCCGTTCTAAAATGCCACATCAAGATTTTCCCACTCCATCTTCAGTGTGATCTTAAGTTCGTCCACAGTCGTCGGAAAGTTCTCATTTTTTTGAATATTGTTCTTTAATATCTTCCAAAAGTTCTCTATTGAATTCAGGTCTGGGAATTCGCCGGCCAATTAATAATTGTGATTTTATTTTCCGTTAGCCAATCCTTAGTTTTTCCCGCAGTATGTATCGGCGCATTGTCATGTTGAAAGATTGCGTAACTTCCAGTTAATTCCCTAATTGCGTTCTGGAATGGAAGTAATTGAGTTTTTAAGATTTCGAGGTAAGTATTTGCAGTTATTTTTTCGCCTTTTTTATATTCATCACAAAAAATTAATGGTCCTTTTAATTTTCCCGCGAAACATCCCCAAACCATTACAGATTTTCGTCCACTTTTAAAGGTAGGCACCAAGTAATTAACGTTAAACTTTCTCCAAACTCTTGGTTGCTGTGACTGCTTTCCCAATCTACAAACTGGTGTTATCAGAGAAAATTATTTTCAACCAATCATAAGCTGATTTATCTAATACGAGCATTTGTATGTGTTTCTGTGATATAGGTTTGTTTGCTGCGATACGTGAGTTAAGTCCGGAGTTGTGCAATACATTTGCGGCGGTTGATAAACTACAAGCGAGGCCTAAATCGTTGACTATTTCGCGTAGCGGTGCACGTCATTTTTCGCTAGCTTCACGCATAAGAAAATCCTTTTCGTGGTTATTTAAGGCTGGTGGTATTCCTGGATGTGGTAAGTTTTCACTTTTTCCAGTTCGTTTATATTTGTTTATAAAGCGGTGTACTGTTGTAGGGTTGCGTCCGAGAATTGAACGGCATTTGTGGTATCCATGTACGCCAAAATCTTCTCCTTTTCAATTTCGTTAAGCTGCGTATAGGTTGACACCATTTTTTAACCTAACGAAATTATAGTGTTGACGAAGTGGCAGCAGGTAAACAAAGTGATGTTTATTATCAAAAAAGGATTACAGACGTAAATCGGGCGATACTTTCTGTGGTAATTATTTAGTTATATAATTTAGTTTTTACTTTTTCTTTAGTTATAATCTTCTTTGATTAATAGTAGCTTTACTATTTAATCATTTTAAGTCTTGAATTATATTGATTATTAATGACTTCACTAGTTTAATCAAGATTAAAGCATTAGTAATTGTGAATAATGACTATGATCTTATATTAGGAAATAATTGGACTCATGCTTATAAAGCAGTTATAAGCTGGACCAAAGATCTATTACAATTTGAAATATAGAAGTTGATTAAAAAGTGTCCAAAGATAAATTCTAACTTTTCAAAAAAAATTCTCCTCTAGATGGATCACTTTATATACAAACATACCATAATTATTATCTAAATTAGTCAAGAATAGAAAGTAGCTAGCGAAGATTCTTCCAATTTTTTCTAAAGTTCTTTAGTCAGAAATAAAACAATGCAAATGATTACATATCTATTTCGCTTCTGTTATTTTTAGGTGACGGAGCGGAGGATTTGTGTAATGCATGTACGCATAACTTTATTGACTAACAATAACCAATGAAAATGAAAATTCCGTTTTCGGGAATTCCAAATGTCATACAAAGCTTCATTATGATTATCTATTATCGTTATGCAAAAAGGAAATTTGTCATTCAAAATTATAAAATGCAGAATCAAAATGAAAATGTTGTTCCCTTTGCCATTTTTATTTTGTTTTATATTTTAAAAAAATAATGCACCATCATCGTTACATTATTAGATTTGCGTAATTTATACGTTGCGCAATACCGATAGCATAATATTAATATTGTAACATATGTTGTTGAATATCAGAAAAACCCCTTAACCGTAACTCTATGGACGTGCATTAAAAATATGTACATGTAAATGTGTTTAGGGAATACGTACAGTTACAAAGGGCATATTATCATTTTTCGAGACAAAAATGCATAATCTATGTTCCTTTATAAAGTTTGATATATTAAAAAGATATAGAAACTTACTCTTTACTTACATTGAAACGCATCGAAAACGATCTAATGAATGACAACAGACGATTTAATACAATTACGTAAAAAATTCTAAAACAAGGTTACTTTGAAGATTTAATAAGTTATTAGCATAAAAATATTTAGATATGAAATTTAGCTTATCTAAAAAATCACCAGCAAAAATTATCATTCTGAATAATTTAGAGATAATATTCTTTTTAGTAATCCCTATTATTTGAGATCAAGAGATTCGTTTTATTCAAAATAAAAATGGTTTATTCATATATCTCCTCGTGAAGTACGTTAAACTTATTGATCATTATACAATCTGGATAAATAATTCTCTTTAATTCGGACGAGATTTATTCATAGTCTTCTTTTAGAACTTTTCCGAAGTAATACGAGAATGTTACGAGCGTCACCTATTGAAATATTTAACGCTATAAGCTTTACTAGGATGTACGCTTGAAATATTTAAAATGTAATTTACGTTGACAATCCGTCTTTTCTATAAAATATACCATTGGAAGATAAAGAGGAAATGAAGACATAAACAGTCTGAGCTTTGAAAGTTGCTTATCTGAAAAAATCAATGAAAGATAAAATATTAGCTTACAAAAATTTCCAATATAATAAAATAGAATATATAACGAACTAAATCCAAATTCATAAAAACTTTAAGTGCAAATATTTACTTTTAATGGAAGTAACATTTAGATCTTTTATCTTTGGAAAGTAATTTACTTTATATTCGAAATTACTTTATTGAATTTTCATGTGTAGAACTTATTAATAGCAAAAGACACTTTGGTTAAATGAGATAAATTTTTTAAAAACATAAATTAAACAACTATTTATGTTATTGCTTATACACATGAAGAAACTCGTTAGAGATTAAAGCATCTGGTGAACATGACTTATAATTAGTTTGTTCATAAGTTAAGCTATTAGGGTCGAACGTGTTTAAGGTATTAGATTTAACTGTATTATAGCTAGCATGTATCACTATTGTAAATTTCTATGTTATTCTATAATAAATTGTTGTATATGCTTTATTTAGGAACTACCAGTGTCTTGTTGTTAATGTTGGAGCAAAATAGTTCAATTCTAAGAATTTGACTTTTCCGGAAAGAAATTGCGGCTATAACATGAAAATTTCCCCTAATTGTCGATCTAAACCCGTGATCCTTGCGACGTGACCTGCAGGTAATCGGTTCTACCTGGACCTAATTCGGAAACAGAAAAAACAAAAAAATAATAAAAGCGATAACCATAAAAAGCAATAAAACTTACCTAAAAATAGTCCCCAAGTTAGATACTTCGAACACCCTTAACTATACCAATAATAGTATAGAATTTCATTTAACTTCACTTTTATTTTTTTTATTTCTTTATAAAATTGTTCATATACTTGAGATCGACCGAGTAAAACAATTATTTTTTGTTTTCTTTTTGCGCTACTTTGTTATAATAATCAAAGCACTATTTACAAATCTATACACACTTTTGTACATACTTTTGTGCATTGTTTTGTACACGCCTTGGTATGGTGTTTTTCATCATTCCGATCACTGTAAAAATAGAATAGTTCATTAGTATAGTCTGAAGTTAAAATGTATAATATAAGCTCTCTTGGGCCTTTTAATCAAGACAAGTTATAATAAAAGAACAAAGTAATTAGAAGAGAAATTACGATTTTGTTGCTTGTATTATTGAACTTCAGGTTTTTATCGCTTTTATTGGAAGAAAGCCATTATTGTGTGAGTTCTTTGAGAGAATGGTATAGCTGTAAAGAGATAATTCATCATGTGACTTTGAAAAATTTTTCTAAAATAGTTTATAGTAAAAGAATTAATTGTAGTCATGTAATTCCCCTTTTCTATTATCCAAACCAACTATTATTATCAATAAACTAACTTTTGCTATCGTATTTTCTGGCGCAGAAACCTTTAACATATCGTAAAGAAGCTCTCCAAGACCAACAAACCATAATCTAATCCTTCCACGAATTCATTAAACCTGTTCATCTTTGAGATCCAATAGACTGGATAGGTGTAACATTAACACCATCAACAAACTATATTAAAATTTAATGTGCAGAAAGTGCAGGTGTTGCTTCATAATCATAACTATTATTATTAATTATAAGTCCTGGCAAAAGTAATAGTGGCGCTTTTTTAATATTATTTATGTAATTATATGATGGTAAAAAATTTAGCTGCAAGTTTATTACTGTAACTGTTCTATTCTTTAAAAGAGTTTAATTTGATAATTAACTTGTTTAATATCTAACAACTTTTCCATAACTTATGAATTGTTACCGAAATTTTAAATAAATTGAAATTAACAGCGAAAATTCAAAATTTATAATAATTCTTTAACTAAAAATTCATTTTAATAAAATGTAATAAATGCGAAAATTTACTTTCCTAATGTTCAGAACAAAAAATATTCTTTTTGATTCTGACTATTAAATTAATAATAAAATTTATTCATATAGTTAATTTTATTACGTACAGTTTAAAATTATGTAAAAAGATTCGAAATGAAAATTCATTCTTGATATTATATAAATATCAATAAATTAATTTGATAAAATATAAGCATTGCATAGATTCTATGGCATTATCCAAATTAATGCTTAATGCTTAAGTATTCAAATAAAACAGTAATGGAATTTAAATATAAATTACACTATGTATGACTTATATATATTACTAAGAAGATCTGATTTTGTTTTGTATTGTATAAGTTAACTTCCAATAATAATTTTATTATCAGAATAATAAGTATTAATAAAAGTTAAGATTTCATTCATGCCATCATTTGGTAATCATCTTTTAAAAAAATGTAAATCTAATAAATAAGCAACTAGCATAATTGAATTATAAATTTTTTTCTATCTTGCCATTAATATTTCATCTATTTGTATAACTTATAAAATTAATTATAAATATGAGTATTAATTAATATTAATTTTAATATATTATAATATTTTAATTAAATTATCTTCTAAATTTTCCAAATCTTTATATTATATATAAAAATAAGAAAGTTTTTAAAGTATTTCTTTCAAAAATTATAATATTTCTTTGAGAATTACAAGAAGTTCTGTGATTTCTTTCCAAAAATCTTCATTTAATATATTATTTTTAATTGATTTATTTATTATTATATTTAAAATTTTATGAGTAATTAATTCAAGAGCCAACTGATTTGTTTTGAGTGATGTAAGACAAGCTGCCCTGAATTTCTATCAAGATTTTGCTGGAAGTTTAAGAGTATTCCAAGTATTTTCATAAGTTATTTTTTGATGTTATTTTAAAATTTCTGCTGAAATATGATGAGAGTTAAAATATTTAACTATTTCTTTAGCTTTTGTCATTATATTATTTGCCTAATTAAGTTTTATAGTATCATTAATTAATAAATGAGTGCATTTGCTAAACATCTGATGAATATAATATTTGAATTCTCCAGGTGACTTCATTACTGAAGCATTATCTATAATTATAGCTGATAATTTTCCTGTATCAATTATACTCATTATTTCATTCATATCTGCAGAAATATTTATTGCATTTTGTTCAGTTTCACTTATAGATTTAGCTGAAACAAATACTGGAATTGGTGTAGTTAAAATAAAATTAGACCAATATTCCTGAATAATATTTGATCTATAATTATAATATTAATTAGAATAAAAATAAAGGTTTATAATAAATACAAATAATAAATATAATTTATCATCCATCACAAATAAGACAAACATATTCAGCATTATTTATATAATTTTTTATTTTATTTTTAGTATCTTGACATACATCATTAAATAAACAATTTGATATTTTTTTACATGATGGAAGCTTTAATGCTGGATGTGTTTTTTGATCCAATTCTTTAATGGTTCCATTTCTGAAAGTGATAGTTGTAATCCACATCTGAAAATAACTTCTGCAAATGCTTTTTCATTTTACTCTTGCTCAGAATGTGAAATTCTATTAACAAAATTATTGATATCGTTATTTCGTGTATTTTGTACATTTCGTAATTGTTGGTTATTAATAAGATTAATTGCATTTGTAGGACTAGTAAGTGTATTAATCATATTGATATTGGAACTAGTAATAGTATTAATTGCATTGGTAGAATCAGTATTTGATATCGTATTAATATTTAATTATGTTTCCTGTAGGCGAATTGGCATTGAGCGAACTTGTATTAGCAATTTCTGGATTTTCAAAGCTCATACCAAAAAATTTTCGTTTAATTTCAATTGAAGCATTTGGATATACGCGCAGATGTGATATTCGTAATATTTATTTAAAATATGTACAACAATAAAGATGTAGATTTGATTTTATCATTATTTATGAACTTAACCATATCGATATGCATAATTGTGTAATGGCATTTACGATATCGGTTAGTAACTATGCGCATATATGCGCGCATAATGCGCATAGGCACATCTCTAGTCAAAGTATTACTAAAAGTTAACATTTTGTGCAACTTATAGGCGTTTTCTTTTTGCCCATATTCGATAATTTCAAAATAGTGTTCATTATCGAAATCTCCTCCTACTTGAGACTGAAAGTAAAAGATTTTGTGTGAATTCATTTTGGCGTAATTAAACTGAAAAGTAGGATTTTGTATGGATTCGTCTTGATTTTCGGATGGTGAGTAAATTGAAGAGATTGATTTTTGTGGGGTCGTTTTGATAATTGGAAGTGTAATAAAACTGAAGAGCGTGACTTTGTGTGGAATCGTCTTGATGTTCGGATGATCAATCTGAAGAGCGGGATTTTGTATCCATTCGTCTTGACAACTAGAAGAATGATTAAGCTGAAGAGGAGGGTTTTGCGTGAATTCAGTTTGATTATTGGAGGAGTAATCAAATTGAAAAGCAAGATTTTGTGTGGAATCGTTTCGATAATTGTCAGGGTAAACGGACTGAAGAGCAAGGTTTTGTGAGAATACGTCTTCAAACTGAGGAACAGAATTTTGTATGGATTCGTCTTGATGTTCGGAGGAGTGATTAGATTGAAGAGCGTGATTTTGTATGGATCCGTCTTGATAACTGGTAGCGTGAAACTGGAGGATATGATTTTGTGTGGTTACATCTTGATAGCCGGGATGAAGAGCATAATTTTGGTAGGATTTGCATTCCTTCTCGTTTAGGTTTTTATAGTTGACTTTAGAAGGTTTAAGTGGCAAAGACTTTTTTATTTCGTTCGAAAACTTTTTGTAGTTCTCTTTTTCGTGTTTAGGTAACCTTTTCCATTCATCGCTAGCAAGACGAGAAATGTTACGAGCGTCACCCATTTGAAAGTTTAAATCTTTCCATTTTGCTACGGTGCATGCTCGAAATATTAAAAATCCATTCGGAGCTTTACTTTTGTCCTCGCCATTTCTTTTCTTTCTTAAAAAATATTCCTTTGGAAGGTAGGGAGTGAATGAAGAGCTAATTGACATTTTGAATTTAATAATCCTGATAAACAGAATTTTGGGCAACTAAAAGAAAAGTTGATTCTTAAATAATTTAAAATAAATGTTATCGATTTAATAATCAATTGATTAATTTTTAGAGAATAGCAAAGATATTTATTGCATATCGATTGCCAAAGTTTTAGCTATTTATATATTATTGAAAAATCATCACTAGCATCTTATTATTTCTGAAAAGAAGATATAGAACCTTTTTTTATCGTTATTATTTTACCGTTAATAATAAAAATAGCAAAGATTTTCTTTTGTCAGACAAATAACGGTATAGTTTTAGCGACTTGCACTCCGAAAAGTGATTTTCTTTGTACACATGTAATTAGAAAGAAACTTGTGCAATAAGAAACTTCTGAATTGACACAAATACTGTAGCTTAAAATGATGTAAGTATTAACGTTTGTGTAAATTATAAAAATGATGAAGGTTCTATGCCGCAAATTTAGAATTTTGAGATATCATAAATGGCAACATGTCATATGACAAAAATGACTTAGCATATAAGGTCATATATTTTTTAATATGACAAGATTATATAACTTTTATTAAACACTAAATAGACATATATATATAATTTTGAAATATTTTGTAACAAAAGCCATTTAACATTCACCAACTTATTAAATATTTTAATAATTAGGCCATTTGTGACGATGCTGTTCTATTACAAAGAAATTCGACATTTCCTGAATGAAAGTCACGATGTGTATGAATTTTTAATTTTTTTATTTTATACTTATACATGTATGATATTTATATACGGAGAACCTCTGCATAAATCATCGTTATTATTGAGTATCCATTTGTAAACTGGGTTTTATTTATTCAATAACTTATCTCAAAGTAACCATCTGTACCTATTTTAAATTTTACTAAAAATCAAAAAAGTATCATTCTTTAAAGATTTCTACCTTTGCTTTTGAATCACTTAATTTCATGGCAACAAGTTCATTTGCGAAATTGTAAATTTTTTGTAAGTCACTCGCATCCCTATAATTTCATCTAAATGTGTTTGAATAAAAAATAGTAATGTGTTAAAAGATTGATTTGCTTTCGTAAAGAAAGTTAATGAAATACATCAAGAAATTCACTGATTAAAAAAAGAACTGTTAACTATGAGAATTTACTGGATTAAATCAAGAATTACGAACAAAACAACTAATCTTTTACAAGCTCAAAAAGACAGAAATGAGGAAGAACTACGAGAACAAATCAACAATTTAGTTAAACAATTAAAACTAGCTCGTCAAAGAACCAAAGCCAAGGATCCAGAATTAACAAACAAATAGAAAACATTAGAAATTTCTTTCCAATTAGCCAAAATTAATGAACTAATAAAGGGAGTTAAAAAAAAGAAATACAAACTTTCAAAAAACATCTTAGTTAATTTGTCTTCGGAATGTTTGCACTTTGGATGGTAGTTTACTAGAGAATTAAGAATAACGATAATAATGTGATAATCCAATAATAAATAATAGCGATAGGTGTCAAAATAAAAGCATCCATCATCAAATAACATATTTCCCGTATTCCTTGACATGTCTAAATAAAAAATATATGTTTTATTTTTTTTTAAGTTCATCTTTTGACATATGAGGCAAAATATTAAGACAGTTTAGTTACTCCCACGTGGTTCTTCTCATATGGCTTGTCCCTTTTTGGGGGTGAAATCTCAATGTTTGTCAATTACTGGCTATGTCAATAATGATACACATGTGATTACACACATCCATATATCAATACATGTTTACCGGGGGATGGAGAATATATATTGCTATGCATGCGTTGTGTGTGCGCTGCTATGCGTATACCAGCAAATGTTAATATTCGTTATTCATCAACCTCTCTAAGGTGTGGTTTTTACGCTCTTTGTTTATTACATATATGGTAAAGTATGGTTCCCACTTTCATTTTCTTTTTTTATAAAGAATTCGTATAAAATAAGACGTTAAAGAGATGAAGAATTTATTTTTTTAGAACCTGTTTATACTAAAATGTGGATGCGTCAAAAGGGTAATGATATATATTGTTAGATAAAACTTTATTTAATTAACATATCTATTTAGATGTAAAACTAAACATTCTATCACTATTAAGCTCAAAGAAAACATGGATTCGTATACTCATGATTGTAATAAATTAGAGGAATGTCACAAACAAATTAATGACAATGAATTTATAAAGTTGTCGACAATCTAATAGAAGAATGCAACAATTTAATAATATCACAAAATATTCGAATGGATGTCTTTTGAAAGATTTACCGACGTTTAATATCTTTCGAAAGAAAGCTTTGGAAAAATTTATAAAGCAATCTGTTGTATGAACTATTGCTATATAATTTCCGTGTGGCATCATGGAAAAAATAAATAGAAATAAAATAATCGACGATTATTTTGAAATAGAGTTTATAAGCATGGTAAAAATGAAAATTTGCTTTTTGTTTTTCTGATACAATTAAATTTAGCTTCAAGCCACGCTAAAATACAGCAGCAAGATTGTTGATTTACGTGCTTATTTACTTAGATATTCATGGTTAATTTCTATTTCAATATATGATTTATTACATTTGTTTTGTGTGATTTTCCATATTACACTTTTTTCCAGGATTTATTATTTTGGTTTCCGTGCCTTTTCCATAATAGATTTTTTCACAGATGTACCATGAGTCTGAAACTCAAAAAAGTTCTATGTGCACAACAGATTACGTGCTTTGATGTATGTTTACATCCATTATCTCCTATAGGTAAGGAAGCATTCTATAATTTCTTGGTTAGTTTTTTTATGCATGTATTCGTTGGAATGCTAAGCCCAAATCTACAAGATGAAAATGAACATGCATTAATATATTTCCAGGATCTAGTCACTTTCTTTTTGAATATTGTATAATAATAGATAAATATTCTAACTTTTATTTAAAGTTAATTTTTCGTAGTTATATTCTAATGAGTATTCATTTGCAGCTAATTAATAATTAATTTCATGTTTTATCATAGTTGAAAATTCTTGAGTACATGTAATTTACTTTGAATTATCGCACTGTAACATAATCATCACTATTAATGACTAGCATAATAATGGATCTAAAGGAAATACATGTAGAGCGCAACATAATGGTGGGAGGAGCTTAGACTAAAAAATTTAAAGGATAAAAAAAAGAGGGCGTAAATAAAAGGTATACAGAGGGACATTCGAGATAAAACTAAAAAGATTCACGGATTCCAAAGGAATACGGGTAGTTTCTGATCATTACCAACACAAAACAAACAGTTGGACTTATGCGGCCAACAAACTAATCAAAAGAAAATACGTCAATTTTTTAAGGTAAAAAAAAGTAAAACCATCAATTTTGTTAAACACAAACGAAATAAAATCTATCAATTTCGTTATGACACGACAGAAATAAGAGCCGAAGCGCAGTTAATGAGTTTCAAAGTAAATTTAATATTCAAACCTCCCATTGCTTAATTTTTAACCCTTCGGATAACTATTTTTTAAATACAATTTTTAAGACTACATCACTTGATACGCAGTTTCCAAGGGATCCGTAGTATAAACTATGAATTGCTTAGGAATTCTCACAAAAAGAGATATGCTATATTTCGAAACAAAGAAACAAAGGTAATAATAAAGGTAACAAGGTCTAATTATAATAAATGTGAATATTGATATAAATCTTCTATGATCAAAGAAATAACATACTGTATGATACGAATATTTAATAATCAAATTCTTTGAGGTCGTAAAATAATAATTTTTGTTCTAACATTATTAGGGACGGCGGTCATCACAAGGTAAGAATTTCGTATGATTTTTTAAAGTGATATTTTACTGATGCTACGAGATTATCAGTAGAGATTCATACAAAAACCTAAAATTCTACAAAATTCACATTTTGTATCGTACGTAATAATTTTACTTTTTTGTTTCGAAGCATAGCATGTCCCTTTTTGTAACAATTCATATTTTGTGCGTAGTAAATCGCGAGTTCTTGTAATAACTTACAATTTGTAGCCTAGATTGTTTATACAGAAGCCAAATTGCATGTAAAGGATAGTCTCAAAGGTCAGAGAGACCGGTTTGAAGAAAAAGAAATAAGAATTATTTTAACTCTTATTTAAAAGCGCTTCAATTTTTATTTCCTTGTGTCTTATAAAAGTTGATAGCTATTTCTTTTATACAAAAGTTGATGAAACGTGTTTGATTCTTTGTTACGTTTGGTTCTTTGATTTGATTATTTTGTTGAAACCCATATTATTGTTTTCGGAATAAACCTATTTTGTGAATTCGAAAAGATATTATTTAAGCTCTATTAATAAATGTTATGTTTATTGTGTTATCTTTAATTGAAAATTATATTTGTTAATTATTAGTTTACTATTTGAAATTAAATATATCCTCACTTTAGCTTTGTCCTTTGAATTCCCTTGCCCTTGAATGCATGAAAATTTCTAATGGATCTCTTTTGAAAAATTAACAATATTGAATATCTTGCAAAAAGCTTCTTATACTGTAACAAATTCGAACAATAGAACAACGTGATTAAAATCAATAAAAGATGTAGAATTTTTATAATTTTTAAAATATAAAAACAATTCTTTTTTTGTTTTCTAATTACAATTACATGTGTTATGAGATACAATAATGGTTATTTTGGAACGAATTATTCTAGAATAACTAAAGGATGAATAATCAGTGTGACTTACCGTATTTACGAAAAATAAGAAACATCCTCTTTATTACCCTCCCTAATGAAAAATGCATAATTGTATACCTTATTTTATTGTTAATATTTAACATTAACAGAACGATAAATTTTAAATTCCATCATTGTAGATGCATCATATTCGATGACCAATTAAAATCAATTTTTAACGAAGCAGCTGATTAAAGGTTTAACATTATATTTTAAGGCCCAAATAAGAGGGAAAAGGGGATGCTGCTTGTATTCCGCAAAATACGGTATACAGAAG